AGATGACTACTTTATATCGATGGAGTGCATCGATTGACACAAACAGCCCCCACATTAGAGCTCTTATGCAATGCAGAAGATATCATTTGAAGGTTTGTTTGCTTTATCTGCCTCCATCCAGCGGGTTATCGGACACACGGTCGCTGATGGAGGTCCATGTGCTTCTAAACGCGCCCCGCAGAAATGCACAGACAGCTGCTCTCAGCATGGGCAGAGATAACTGTAATCACTGCCTTAATGTGGCGCATTTGAAAGCACATCCTCCAGGTTTTATGAATAGCAGGGTGTCCCCTTCAAGCCTATGAGGTCATTGGTATGGCACGGATCAGGCGGGAGAGGAAGCACGCCTGTCACGGTAAAGATAGATCAGCTGCCGAGCATGTGTGCCAACATCAACACCGGCACGTCTTGGCTTGCAGGGTCTGTGTGTCAAAGAGCGTCCCCCACCCTACGAACTGCAGGCTGCAGATTCATACAGTTCACTGAATAAATCAACATGCAGACAGTAATGAATGCTCACCCAGATGCACCGAGCGTGCAGGTTTTAAAAGTTTGCTGTGCATGTGTGTAAGCGGCCTTTAACACCAAACGTGACAGCTGTCAGTTGAGCCGTCAGCTGAATCTCTGGACTATTTCCATCTCTAACTTTAGCTTGTCTCCATGGTAAACCCACAGCAAATCCAGTTTAGGATATGCGTGGTGATATGGAATGCTGTGAAAGCATATCTGTTCTATCTCTGCGTCCAAGATCTTTGCGGTTGCTAGATTCATTCGGACCTCCCTGAATTCTGGGAAATCTGAACGTGCCGTCACTAGCTTGCACTTATGTTTACACGGTTCTCACTGAAGCGAGATGTCTTGTTTTTAAGATTCAGCGCTGACAAGAAGGAGCCAGCCTTCTTTATCTCTGCATTTGTGATGAAAGGTTATTTATTAAACAATTAGAATAATATATATATATATAGAGAGAGAGAGAGAGGGAGAGAGAGACACACACAAATGATTTCATTATTGGTCCTGATTGCAGTTGAATCAACCTTAAATTAAGCCATAATTTTTTGTACAGTTATTAATTTATTACAATAAAAGCCCTGTTAAGAATATACATCTTTATTTTCACGTAGTCATTTGAACAACCAAACAGTAAACATACTTGTGTGTTGTGAACCTAAGCAATGCAGTAACAGTACCGGTTCATTTTCGGACATAAGCTGTGAAAGCATATCTGTTCTATCTCTGCGTCCAAGATCTTTGCGGTTGCTAGATTCATTCGGACCTCCCTGAATTCTGGGAAATCTGAACGTGCCGTCACTAGCTTGCACTTATGTTTACACGGTTCTCAAGCAAGCGAGATGTCTTGTTTTTAAGATTCAGCGCTGACAAGAAGGAGCCAGCCTTCTTTATCTCTGCATTTGTGATGAAAGGTTATTTATTAAATAATTAGAATAATATATATATATATATATATAGAGAGAGAGAGAGAGAGAGAGAGAGAGGGAGAGAGAGACACACACAAATGATTTTATTATTGGTCCTGATTGCAGTTGAATCAACCTTAAATTTGGACAAATAAGCCATAATTTTTTGTACAGTTATTAATTTATTACAATAAAAACCCTGTTAAGAATATACATCTTTATTTTCACGTAGTCATTTGAACAACCAAACAGTAAACATACTTGTGTGTTGTGAACCTAAGCAATGCAGTAACAGTACCGGTTCATTTCGAATCGGACATAACTGCGAACAGTGATGTTTGATTCACGAACAAATGATTCCTTTAATGAACCGATTCAAAAGAATTCCTGACGCACGTTCGAGTTCGCTCGTGAGTTAGCGGGTTGAATCAGATTCACTCGGTGAATCGTTCTGAGCATTTCACAACTGATTCCCTCAACTAAACCGCGAGTCATTGTTAGGTTATGTCCAATTAGAAACCATTACTGTGCTGATTAGTTGTTCAAAATACAATGTGTAAATAAAGATGTTTGATTCACGAACAATTTCATTCACTTTTTAATCAGTCAGTGAATCGTTCTGAGCAGTTCACAACTGACTCCCTTACTGAACCAAGAGTCATTTTTTGGTTTAGTGAAGGAATCAGTAGTGAACTCCCCGAACGAATCACCGAGTGAATCTGATTCAACCCGCGAACTCAAACCTGCGTCGTGAATTCTTTTGAATCGGTTCATAAGAATCATTTGTTCATGAACCAAACATCACAGTTTGCACCTTTTTTTTTTTGTTTACACGCAGGTGACACTGTTTAAATCTTGATGAGTGTGTACTGTAGTGAATGTAGATGTAGCAGCGATGACATAAGGTCTAATTTGGTGAATGTATGTACTGTATGTGCGCTGGAAACAGGAGTGTTAAGCGCATCAAGAAGCGGCTATTTGTGTTTCCATAAAGTCTATGGTGTCAAACTCAGTTCCTGGAGGGCCGGAGCCCTGCGGAGTTTAGTTCCAACCCTGCTCCAGCACACACACACCATGTAGTTTTCAAATAAGCCTGAAGGACTTGATTAGCTGGATCAGGTGTGTTTAAGTAGGGTTGAATCTAAACTCTCCAGAGCTCCGGTCCTCCAGGAACTGAGTTTGACACCGGCGGCATGTGACCCGCTGGGAAAACCGATGCACATGATTTATTATGTTTCCATGTCAGACCCCAATGGAGTAATTATAAAAATAGTTCAATCAAAAATAACAAAAATTCTGTCATCATTTATTTTCCTTGATGTCGTCAGTCATACGGGTTTGGAACGGCATGAGTGTGAGTAAATGATGACAGAAGTGCTTGAACTATTCCTGTAAACCGGAGCCCCGTGTGAAGGCTGATATTACACTAAATACGAAGCCTTTTTATTTTGAGGCCTGAGAGTGTTGAGAGCGCAGTGGTGATGTGTAGTTACTCCTGTTGTGTTGACGGATGGGATTACGGAGGATGAAGTCATGGTGTGAGAGCTTTATGTCCGTCAGCGCTTGCTGTGATCTGCGTTAATTAGTGTGAATGTCTCCGCCTGATGTATGACATGTTCTCCGCCCGCAGTGATAACTGATGCTGCTCTGGATGCCGATCACAATATTCCATTAGAAAGTGTCAGGCAAGACTGCAGGTTCATGCGGGATTTAGACGAAATGTGCACAATGTTCTGAAAGTTTGGTTACAGCTTAGACACTGATATTATAGCTAATTATTACTGATTGATTACTGTTAGTGATTTAAATAAACCCGTAACCTTAACATTTGTCCTTGAAGCAAATTTCAAATCATTGTCCAAATGTCATGTCCGTGCGAATAAAAATATTATTAAAAGCTCTTCTGCAGAAAGCTTTTGTAACATTATAAATGTCTTTACTGTCACTTTTGATCAATTTAATGCATCTTGCTGAATAAAATTATTAATATCTTTTTTTTTTTAAATCTTGTATGTAGAAATGTAAGTAGAAAACATATCATTGTCCAAATGTTTTGCTCTCAGAATTGTTTACTTCAAACAGAAGGCCGAGATCCTGACTACAAATTATAGGTTGACAAACAATCTCCCTCAAATTGCATGTTTTGCTGTGGTGTGACAATAACGAAAGACTTTGGGGTTTTCTCAACACTGGACGCTTGCCTTTTCTTTGTCGAGCAGTTTTTAGAAAAACCCGCTCTATTTTACAGTATTGCATCTTCTTCTTCAGTAAGTCACATCTCTGAGAAACAGACTCGGATGGTTGATTTTACAGTCTCAATCCCCCAGATATAGTGTGTGGTCTATAAATAACAAGTGTTGTGCATTTATTTCACAGTATTTGCATTGCTCTTTTCATTGTGCTTGCAAGATACTCCTCGGGTTTGTTTTAGACTCTAATTATTACATTTTTGCAATTAATTCAGCTGAAAACACTTTACTTACATGCTCCATTTAAACTTTATATTGCAGATAATTTCAGTCTTGGACCTGCATCTATTTCTGGTTGTTGTAAACATGATACTTTTTAAGAAACTTTGAAAATCTCTCTTTGACTTACAGTGACAGAATTCTTTCAGAATGCGACAGTGATGATGTAATATTTGAATCCTCGATTCCAATTGGTCTGTTTTCTTACAGCCATTTGCATACTGAAATGCTATTGGTTGTTTCATTTTTACTCCAATTTTACCATCTTTAGCTGTTTTAACACTTTTAGACATTGAGTGTCGTGGAGAAGAAGCTCCTAACAGTATTTCATTCCTAAATTTAAACAAAACCTGCTGTTTGCAAACACAGATATTTCTTTCTGGAAATGAAAATCTAAGGCATCTTTACACAGCCGAATTAAGGCTGCTCTGTGCCTGCTCAAAATTCAGTGTAAAGGTGCAATGCCACATCAAAGCCAGACTAAATTAAGCCTGCTCTGATCCACCTCAGCTCCTAATATCAAAGTATACAGTTGTAATTGTGGAAATGCATTTATGCCACCTCTGAGCAGCATTAAACAGACACTGTAAAGACACCTAAATGCCACTTCAGAAGCGCTTCTGTGCCACCTTTGCAGTGTAAACTAAAGCCACCTTTACACAGCCAAGTTAAGGCTGCTTTGTGCCTGCTCAAAATTCTGTGTAAAGATGTAATGCTGCATAAAAGCCAGACTAAATTATGCTTGCTCTGATCCACCTCAGCTCCTAATATCAAAGTATACAGTTGTAATTGCTTTGTAAATTGCATAAAATGCATAAAAGTTTTGCACAAAATTGCTTTTTCACTCATATTGTCAAGAGGGACTGGAAAATGATGGACAGCTGGTGTCCTCACAATCTTAACTCGAATTTGTGGGTTTCTGCATGCTTTAACTAGATATTTTCATGTTCTGAAGTACATTTAAGTGATGTTTGTTCATGCAAAACTCGCTGCCGTGATGCTAGTGTGGTTTTCAGGACACTTGCCAGTGTGTTTTGGGTGTTAGTTTACTGTCTGGTGTGAAAAGACTCTTTTGTGAGAATCTTACGTGCTTTGCTGATGTCAAATCCTGCAGAATCCTGGAGAAAGAGCTGCAACAGCAGCAAAGATTACAATAATGAAAAATAATGACCGTTTGGGCTTTGTGTTTCCTGGCCCACATACGGTCTTTGTGTTCCAGATGAAAGTGCTTCCTTCTGCCTTTGTTCAGGTAAGAGCTCTAGTTCCATGAGTTTGGTTACAGGCGAGTGGTTCGGTGCAGATGTTGGGCTCCATCCACTAAGCAAACGTCTGTCTAAACACTCTGAGTTCAGTTTCCACTCCATGAGAGCAGCGTGAGCAGGAGAAGAAGAGCTTTAGCCTCGGCTCTTGCCATCTTCTGACCTCTGAACAATTTTGACACTCATTGAGCACCTTTCGACCTCTGCTGATGTTAAGCTTATATACAAATACATAAAGTTTGAAGTCACAGGTAGGAGGAGTTTGTGCTGTTGGTAAATGCAGGCTAAACACAGTCCATCATGGTCTGGATCGCTCAAAGTGTATTTATAGCATTCCTGCCAAAAAAGCTTGTGGATGCTTTTCTTGTTGTTGTTTCTTGGCCACATTCAGCCTGAAACGACAGATTGATGGTATTTTAAACACAAAGGAAAGGCGCTGTACTCCTTCTGTACTCGTACAAGTGTTCGGTTGAGTTGACCGAAGTCGTTTTTTGTTACTGGTGTCACTGTTTATTGGTTTTGGTTTGGTTAGATTTTTTTCCGAAACCCCTAACCCAAAACTTTAAGCTCATTCCTGACCACAATATCTCAATTTATGTGTGTTGAGGAGAGGTGGAAAATCTAATTGTGTATTTTCTGATTCAAATTGTGATTCTGATTTAAAATGTCCAGGTTTTGCTTTGCTTGTTTAATAATAATAATAAAATCAGGAGTTCGAGGTGGATGTGCTCGTTTAATGTGCTTTGTTTCTGATCGTCCGTGTTTGTCTGATAGATCTCTGTGTGGTTTCAGGCAGGCTTGATTCGCACTGATGATGAAGAGTTCTTCATCGAGCCTCTGGAGAAAGGCCAGCAGGAGGTGGAGGTCAAAGGTCGCGTCCATGTGGTCTACCGAAGGTCGGCCATCAAAAGGGACAAGGATCAAAAGCGATATGACCTTCACAATGAAGGTAAGCAGAGGTTATGAAAAAAAAAGTTTTTTATCCTGATTAAAATTGTGATTGTGATTTAGTTTACTGTGTTTGTTTTTAGGGCTGCACAATTTGGACAAAAATATTAATTATAATACAGCAGTATGACAAAAAAATTATTATAATTAATTAATAAATTTTAAAAAAAATAAGAAATATTACTAAATAATAATAAGAAATATAAAAACATGAAATATTATAATTGTACTATTATTACTTTTAATTGTACTATTATTAATATTATTACTAAAATAGTATAAGAAATATTAAAGTATTTACAAACAAAAAATATTTATGTATTTATGTATATGTATTTTGACATATTTTCATTACTTTTAATTTACTATTAATTTAATATTATTACTAAATTGAAATAAGAAATTAGTATTTTAGAACAATAAATAATAATAATAAAAATATAATTTTATTGTACAGTATAATTGTAAAATTATAATTCTAAATATTATACTTTAATATGTACACAAATATAAAAAAGTAAAACATAATTTAAAATTTTGAAATATAAAATAATATATATAAATTAAATTCTATTTCGCAATTTCAGTTTAATTTCGATTAAATGTGACGTATCTGAGACTTACGGCATGAAAAGATGTGATTGTTGATTCTGACCTCAATAAACATTTTTTTGTCAGACTGTACAATATACATCTTAGCTTAGACATTGAAGTGTTGCCACATCTTTACTGACACACGCAACTGGAATCAAGCAAGCCTGTAGAGTCAGATTTATTGCTCTGTGAAGGAAGTGAAGCGTCTGAGAGCCGTTCTGTGAATTTAAATGCACATTACTGAAGTGCTGAACTCAAAAGCTGCTGAAGCAGGAACTTTGGAAGCTGTCATGGAATCACTGGAGGAAGTCAGAGATCTTTTACTATAAAAGTGCTTTAAATTCTGTTCCACTTCTGCAGAGCGTCAGCAGTCGAACCCAGCATGAGCATCTGTTTTCACAGGTCAGGTCCGGTCCAAAGACTCTAGAGAAAAAGCAACAGATCTTTCACTGGCCAGACAGATTGTGAAGGCCTCGTCCGGTTATTTATCGCAAATCCTTCTATTGATTTCTAATATGTTTGTTTGGTGCCATGACACAGTGATGGTAATACCATAGTACTTTAATATACACTACCTTTTAAAAGTTTGGGGTCAGTAAGACATTTTTTTAAAAGGAATTAATGCTTTTATTCAGCAAGAAAGCATTAAATTGCTCAAAAGTGACAGTGAAGATATTTATAATGTTCTAAAAGATTTCTGATTCAAATAAATGCTGTTCTTTTGAGCTTTCTGTTCATCTGTGAATCCTGAAAAATAAAATGCATCACGGTTTAAACAAAAATATTGGGCAGCACAACTGTGTTCAACATTGATAATAATCAGAAATGTTTCTCGAGCAGCCAATATTAGAATGATTTCTGAAGATCATGTGACACTGAAGACTGGAGTTATGATGCTGAAAATTCAGCTCTGCATCACAGAAATAAATTATGTTTTAATATATATTAACATGGAAAACAGCTATTTCAAATTGTAATAATATTTCACAATTTTATTGTTTTTACTGTATTTTTAATCAAATAAATGCAGCCTTGATGAGCAGAAGAGACGTCTTTAAAACACATTTAAAAACTTTTAATATTGAATGATCACCATATTCATGTACTGTGATGTAAACTTCCTCAGTGCATGTCCTTAGAAACTTAGAGGTTTGTTTAAAACTTTCTAGATTGTTGCTTCAGCACTTCCACTATTTATAAATGACACTCAGACACTAAACCGTCACTTTGTCTGGTCTTCGTTTCCTGCAAAAGCCTCTGTGCATTAATTATTTACAGAGAATCCATGTCTGACTGTCCCATGGACCTTCATTTGGACAATGAAATGATGCAAGTGATATGAAATATCCTTATATATATATATGGACTAAAATAGTGATATCCTGTGATAGATGTTTCCATGTAGGACACGAGTGCTTTATAACAGATTCACACGAGAGTGATGAAGAAACATGGAGAAACACTGAGCGGAACAAGAAGACGAAGAACTTATTAAAGGCTTTGTTAGATGCAATATGAAGTGGAGCAATACAGCCTGTAAGAAGACTAATAATCATAACATATGGCAAAACCCTTGAAATATCCTGAAGTTTTGCAGCTGTACGGTGCTTTAATGCTCCACACCTGTATCAGAGGAATCCAGAGAGAGAATAATAATGGTCAGTAGTCGAAGTCTAGACCGGCCTGCAGCTCGTTCAGCTCTGACATCTGTGAAATTATGGCAGAACGTCAATGTAAATACCATATGTCTTGAGTTTTATGGTTTTTCCGCTATGATGCAATAGAATTTGTACTCGACCTTCTGGTGTCTGAGATTTCTGACCTTCAGTTACACATTTAGAGTTTGATTTGATCATTTTCTCTTTCTGCCTTTCTAGCTTTGGTTCTGCATACTGCATTCTTCATGCAAAATATTAATAAATGTTAAAAAAAAACCTACTGAGCTGATGTTTTAAAAGCATAAATATACTGTAGTTATCTAGAAATAAAACCATTAGAAAAAAAAGATTACTTGAAATAAATGTTAACTGAAATAAAATAAAACATACAATTATTTCTCATTTTAATTGTTTAACTTGATGTACTAAAATAACTAAAACTGAATTTTTTTATTTTTATTTACATAGACATATATATATATATAAATAAAAATGACAAAAAACACAACAAAATTATTCCAACCTTAACTAAAATGAAATAAAATCGGAAAAAATAAAAACTATTTCAGCTGAACTAAAACTAAAATAATAATAATAATAATAATAAAATAAAACTGAGTTTAACTTGATGTACCAAAAAAACTAATAAAAGTGGCAAAACGAAAAATGAAAATTTAAAATAAAAAAACAAAAACTGATCCAAAATATTAATAAAAACTATTAATATTTTTAAAAATAGGACTGATGGACTGAAATAACTAAAACTAAAACTGAAATAAAAATTAATAAAATGCTATATATGCATAATTGAAAAAAGGATAAAACTAATAAAAATGGCAAAAACACAATTAAATAACTAAAACTTTAAAATTAAAATGGAAAATATTAAAATAAATAAAAAATATGAATAAAAACTATAATAGTATCTCAGTGATACTAAAATAACACTGAGGCACACAAATATTGGGTAAAATAGTCACTTTTTAATACTATTATTAAAAAAAAAAAAAAATAATGATAATAAATATTGAGTCTTTAAACATCAAAACTGACGACTGGTTTCTTCTGTTTCTAAGCACTTCCCTTGTTCTGAAATGCAAAATTCATGCTGTTTTACACTTTAAAACAACATTTAATGTTTCACGTCTACATTCATTAGGCTGCCTTATGAATAATGTGATCAGGGACGCTTCAGCCACAGCTAAAATAAAGCAGAAATCCTTGTTTTATAATGAATGTTTATTGTTTCGTAACACTTCAGACAGACGGATTTCTTTTTGCAGCTCAAGCTGTTGCCGTTGACTGACTTGTCTTCAGTCGTGACTCGTATATAGGGGACGGCGAGGCTGGGAATGTGTCTCATTTGTCAGATTCAGCAGATTTTTGATGCAATCTGCCATTAGTAAAGCAGAAAGCCCATTGTTTGCATGGCAGTAAATCTCTTGTGTGTTCAGTGACAGACTTTGGAATCGCCGAGCTGCCCAACGCTCTCAGCGTGCTGGAGGAGAAACTGTCAGAGACGGAGCGCAAACGCAGACACGCCAAGAAAGACGACTACAACATCGAGGTGCTGCTCGCCGTGGACGACTCGGTCGTGCGCTTCCATGGCAAAGAGCACGTGCAGAACTACGTCTTGACGCTGATGAACATCGTAAGTGACTGATTTAATGAAGAAATGCACAGTAAACAAGCTCTTCTGCTCGATTTGTTTGGTTCTCGAAGCAGATTTGCACACAGCATCCCACACGCCAGCTGGAAAGCAACCCTGTCATGACTCTGTACCCACGGTTCACTGCTCTTGACCCCACAGCACGCTGCTGTCGAGCACCTCGCAAACCGCTGCGTCTGTGGGAGGATTACTAGAGAGAGAACGAGAGAAAAGACCGGTTCAGTACGCGTCCCACCAGGTCCTGCCACCTTAATCTGCTTACGCTCGCCAAATCCCTCCAGTCAGATTTTCACAGGAGCTGGTTTCACTCCGTAACTGTTACCGTTAGGACTGCGGCGGTGGGCTGATCCACTCGCTAGAGCGCTGACTGACCTGATGGAGACCAGGGGTCATGGGTCCAACACACACACACACACTCACACACACTCACACACACACACACACACACACACTCACACACACACACACACACGCGCACACACACTCATGCACACACGCACACACACACACACACACACACACACACACACACACACACACACACACACACACACACACACACAGACACACACACACACACACACACATACACTTTTTTTCTTTGTTATTTGCATTTAGCATCATTTTTCTCTGCTGTCAGCGACCTGTCAGAACAGACCTGTGAGCCGTCTTTGTAACCTCAGGTTTTCTTTATTTTTGGAGACATTTGTGTCGTGGACGACGTTCCCAAAGGGAGTTTTTCAGATTCTGCTCGCTTCTCGTGACAGTTCAGTCCTCAAATTACAGCTAAACACACACATTCACAGAGTCTCTGCAATGTTTGTTTGTGCGCTGAGCTTCATGGTGTGAGACACAATGTTTAAAAAACAAGAAAACGCTTTCTTTCGACTTCATCATTTCTATCATTGGCTGATCAGCCAGTATTTGCTTGTTCAGAGCAGGCTTGATATATTTAATGAAGTTTTAGACCTCTTCATGTGGTAACACTTACAAAAAGCTCTTATTTGTTAATGCATTAATGAACGAACAACGATACATATATACTTTTTACAGCATTTATTAATCTTTGTTTCTGTTATTTAATAAAAATGCAATTCTTTATTGTTTGTTCACTTCACAATGCATTAACTAATAATAACAGATATAACCTTTGATTTAAAAATTTTATTAGTAAATGTAGAAATTAACATTAAAATAAGATGAACGAATGCTTTAGAACTATAGTTTATTGTTCATGTTAACTAATGTGGTTAACTAATGTTAATAAACGAGACTTTATTGTAAAGGTAGGTATTTTTACTAAAATAAAATATTTTAAAAATGTATCAAATTAAGCTAGTTCCCAAGGAAACATTTCTCATTTTCATTTAAACTCAATACAATAAAATTACTAAAAATAAAATAAAAAAGAATAAAAACTATATATAGACATATTAAAAAGAAACGAATAAAAAAATAACAAACACAAACTTAAAAATGAAAATAAAGACAGAAAAAAACTAAATGTTAACTGAAATAAAATATTTAAAAAACTAATCGAATTAAGCTAGTTCCCAAGGAAACATTTCTCATTTTCATTTAAACTCGATACAATAAAATTACTAAAAATAAAATAAAAAAAGAATAAAAACTATATAGACATATTAAAAAGAAACAAATAACAAACACAAACTTAAAAATTAAAATAAAAACAGAAAAAAACTCATTGAATTAAAATGACTTAATAAAAACTAAATGTTAACTGAAATAAAATATTTAAAAAACTTATCGAATTAAGCTCTGTTCACCTCCTGTCAGAGGCAGAGAAATTGTGTTTTTACATGCAGGTGGCTGTCAGACGTTCACGTTAGCCTGTGACTGATGGTCTGATGTGTGTATGTGTGTCCTGTAGAGACTGAGACGGCTTTCTAGAGCTGCAGGTGAGCTCACTTGGGCCTTCTGCCATAAATAAACACAAACGAGCCTCTCGCGAAGGTCGTCGGACAGGGTCGCACCTCGTAAATTCGCAAACACGTTTACAAATAGGAGAAGCTCACGTTTGCACGTCTCCTTTGGCGCTGACATCAATCTGCAGGACGCTTGAAAGAGTCTGGATCAGAACATCCGCTCGCATCATTCCAGGCAAGTGTCCGCGTGGTGGGATGCCGACTGCATCATGCAGAGTCTGCGACCCAAGCCTAGACGTAATTACAGCCTATGTGTGTTTTCCAGACGGAGGGAGAGTTTTTTTTAGCTAGTTGTGAAGTTTAAAGTTTGTTGCATTGCTGACAGGTGTATAGAAACCGGCTTTTTCATATCTTGATTTGTTTAACAAAACGCAGTCTCCTTCAATACTCCACTTAATTGAATTGCACATTAATGCACATTCCTGATTTTATTGTGAACGATTCACTTGTGCATTTTATATTTACATAAATATATAACTCACACTCGCTAGCAACGCCAAGGTCATGGGTTTGATTCCCAGGGAATGCATGAACTTAGTAAAATGTGTACCTTAAATAATAGTTCACCCAAAAATGAAAACGTGCTCACCCTCAGGCCATCCAAGATTAGGATGAGTTTGTTTCTTGAGCATCCATTGCTGAGACACTGATGCAATGCTACATTTCTACAAACCTGATGAAGAAACAAACTCATCCTAATCTGGGATGACCTGAGGGGGGGAGTAACTTCAGTAACTTTTCATTTTTGCCTGAACTATTCCTTTAACTGCAATACAAGTCGTTTTGAATAAAAGTGTCTGCCAAATGCATAAATGTAATGTACAATTAAGCAAGTTTCCTTATTTTATTTGTCATGCAGTGAAAGTCAATGGGGTTCCGTGTTGCTTGTCACTTCCTGTACTGCATTCTTCTGTTGAATATCCAGGTTTACTTGGAAATGTCGTATTGCTGATGTGAAACTGTTTGCGAGTGTTGCCAGAATAGAAATGCTTTTGATAGAATGTGGAGGCTCATTAACTGCGTGCCACGCGTCAGACTTTGAGCCCAAACTGCATTTTTTTTGTAGGTCAGACATTTTTGGCATTGCATAATAATAAACTGTGGTGAAGTGCGCTGCTTTTTTAAAAGAAGACGTTGCACGAAATTCCCACCAGAATCAAATGGATTCAGACTTCACTGAGTTTAAAGGAATTCCTAGTTTCGGTTTTGTGACTAAACTAAAAATAAATCCATAAAAAAATTTTTTTTTTACTTCAAATAAAGTAAACTTTAACTAAAATAAAATATAACATAAAAAATTTCATTATTTTAGCTAGTTGCCAAGGCAACATTTCTCATTTTAATTTATTTTTCTTCATGTACTAAAACTAAAACTGAAATAAAAATGAATGAAAACTATATAGATATATTAAAATAATAAATAATAATAATAAAAATTACAAAAATACACAACTAAATTACTAAAATTTAAATGAGAACAGAATATGATAAAAATAAAAATATAATATAAAACAAAAAGTAATTCAAAATAATAAAAACTATATTAGTATCTCAATGATACTAAAATAACATCAGCAATTTGGGTCTCATTTTAAAGCCAGAAAAGCGCAAGTACACAAATGCAAATGTAAATAATTGACTAACACTTTGTTTTTCTGAGCGAGTGAAATAATATACGCTACCGGTCAAAATGATTGGAATAATAAAGATTTTTTTTTAAATGTTGTTGAAAGAAGTCTTGTGCTCACCAAGGCTGCATTTATTCTATCAAAAATACAGTAAAATCAGTAATATTGTGAAATATTATTATAATTTCAATAGCTTTTTTCTATGTGAATATATTTTAAAATGTAATTTATTTCTGTGATCAAAGCTGAATTTTCAGCATCATTACTCCAGTCTTCAGTGTTACATGATTGTTCTAGGTGACGTGCAGAAAAAAGAGGTGGAGTAAATTAATGCATTTAAAAAAAAAAAATGGAAGTACAGTTGATTTTGACAAACCTCATGACATATTAGACTGTTGTACCGTAGAAGAAAGCTCACTATAACGCACCCTTGTGGTGACACTGAGAACGCAGCATTTGCGTGTGTTACATATATGTAACGCGAGTCATTTCCGAACATAACAGCATGTGTATTTGAGCTTGTGCGTCTCAGAGGCGTTCAGCTGCGTCTGGGTTTCAAGCATCCGTCAGAATAATGTTCCACCAGAAACAGAAATCTCTCGACAGTCTCGGTGTGTTTCCAGCTGTGTTTGTCAGGCCGTTTTTCACGTCACACTCTCTGCGTTACAGTTCCCACACCTGCAGGACGACGCTCGTAGACGGCATTAAACAGCATTCAGTCACTTTCCTACATCCTTCCTGGGAGACTAAACAAACAGTCTCTCTTGTTTGTGAAGAAACCTCAAAAACTAAGTATTAAAGTTCATTCTGTGCAGCGTTTGTGATTCAGACATGCAAATAATTACCTGGTGACCCCTCAGCACATGTTCGCAACTGCATCGAATCTTGCATTGACATGCATCATTCATTCTGCATGTTTCTTCAGAAATAATAAAAAAAAGTCTAATTATAATTTGTTTCGGTGGTACTGTGATGGTAACAGTATTGCTGTAGTGCTGTTTGGTACTGTTTGTTAGTGCAAGTTCATTCCTGGAGCATTTACACTAGTGAGTTGTTTGCATTAGTGTTGACTTTCATTTCTTTGGTGATTTCGATTAAGAGTCTTTTATTCATCAGATCATTCTTTTCTGTGTCCACAGGTTGATGAAATCTATCACGATGAGTCTCTGGGAACCAACATCAACATTGTGCTGGTCCGAATGATCCTGGTGGGATATCGTCAGGTGAGCGCTTCTTTATATGTGACCCTGCAGCACAAAACCAGTCATAAGGGTAAATTTTTCGAAATTGAGATTTATACATCATCTGGAAGCTGAATAAATAAGCTTTCCATTGATGTATGGTTTGTTAGGATATGACAATATTTGGCTGAGATACAACTATTTGAAAATCTGGAATCTGAGGGTGCAAAAAAATCTAAATATTGAGAAAATCGTCTTTAAAGTTGTTCAAATGAAGTTCTTAGCAATGCATATTACTAATCAAAAATTAAGTTTTGATATATTTACAGTAGGAAATTTACAAAATATCTTCATGGAACATGATCTTTAGAAAATTTTTAGTCTTTGCAACTTTACAGATCTTCTTTATGCACCAAGAGCTTGTAACACTCCAAAGAGAAAGGAAGAATTGAAAGCGCATCATATGACCCCTTTAAAGCTGGTTATTTGGCTAAGAACTAGCCATCTGGAAGACGTGACTGCTGTGAGGTTTGATCAGAAGCGGTGTGTGGATTTCATGAACCTCCAGCTGGCAAACACATTCAAATATCAGAGAACAACTCAATTTCACACCTGTTTGCAGAGAGGCTAATAAAGAGAAACTGAGCTTGACAAGCATTCTGTATTCTTTAAATAAAGTACAGCTCATGGAGTTGTTTTTCATTGAACTCTCTCCGATGTTAGACAGAACTTTATCGGCTTTTCACAGCATTCATAATTTCTACAGATTTGAGACCAAAACATTTGAATGTTAACAATATTTATCGGGGAAAGACAAACGTTTTGGAAGCGAATGCAAAAGTTTTGCAATAAACCCAAAAGATTGAAATGTTATTGCAAAATTAACTGGGGGAATGCAGAAGTTTTGTAAGTCAATCCAAAAAATTTGAATGTTAATGCAAAAATTTTTTTAGGGAAACGCAAAGTTTATCGGGGGAATGAAAACATTTTGTAAGTGAATGCACAACATCATTGAAATATAATTTTCCTTTAGGGGTTCAATAGTTTCACGAACAAACCATTCAGACCTCCTCATGAACTTATACATTGAAAGGAAACAACGATTTAACTGAAGGATTGTTCCTAAATATCAGCGAACCACCTTCACCGCTCGCATTTGAAGCAGTCTTATTTTCTACGCTTTTTAAAAGCAGCAAAAAGGACTGTGGAGATGTATTGAGTTAAAACTATTCCTTTTCCCTTCAAGATCTAGTGAAGTAGAAAGTAGAAAATGTGCAGAAATCAGTTTATTTGTTTTTTTACATCTTCTATATGGATCTAGTGCTGAGTTGGGCTGTCAGTCAAATAAAGCTTTTAAACTTAAGTGTGTGTTTTTGCCTAAATAGTTAAAATAGTATGAATATATTATTTAATATATTATGTAAATTTAATTAATTATAATATTATAAACATGTTATGCATACATTATATTATAATATATTATTGTCTAATATTATAAATAATTATATATTAATAATTTACCATTGGCTGCCACCCTGCAAAAAAGAACAACAACAACAACAAAAAAGGTTATTGTAAATTATTTATCCTATTTTTTAATACCCTTAAATGTCTTAAAATATTTCCTAAAGTAATATCAACATATTATGAATATATTATATTATAATATATAATAATGTAAATATGTAATTATAAATAAGTATATATTAATAATTTTAATGTATACTTAATGTAAACAGATAAACTAAAATATTCTTTATTTAATTGTCTTAAAATGTCTTAAAATATATCATAAAATAATATTAATATATTATGTTTTATATACTTATATATTGGTGTTATATTGTTTTCTGTTCTCCAGTTGTTTAGTGTGATGTTGAATGAGATGAGATGAGAAATGCGTCTGCAGAAAGCAAAGCATGTGTTATGATGATAGATGATTATTGTGTGTTGTGGGTCAGTGATTTCGGGCCGCTGGCAGGGCGCTGCTGTGTTTAGTCTGTTGGGTCACAGGGAGATGTTGGTATATTTTGGAAGCCGAACAGAAAGTCAATCAGTCATTGAATTTCAGCTTCAGCTCAGTCACTGATGGGTTTTGACTAATGCTAAACAAACAGCCTAGTGTCCTCAAATCCCAGAGGATCGCTGGAGCTCATGAGACTTAATGAAGCTTTCACATGTTTCTTGTCTCAGATGTTTCTCCTAAAAATCCTCAGGAGAAATAAAAAAAAATCAACAATGACTTAATAGTCATTTGTGTATCATGGCACTAAACTGCTTGGTTGTTGTCCTAGGCAGTTCGATTTAAATAAAACTGAAATAAAATAAAAAAGGAATATAAAATAATACAAATATTAGACGGAAAACATCATAAACTTAAAATTAGACATTGTATATTATAAATAGAGTACTAAAAATACTAAAACGAAAACTGACATTAAAGATAAATGGCAACATTTTTAAAACATCTAAGAAAAATAATTCTGAAATAAAATAATATATAAAAAATGAATAATAAAATAATATAAGTATTACATTGAACTTAAAATTACCTTAAATACCTTGAAACCTAAAAAATACTAAAAATTCTACAATTTCTAAAACTGAATTTAGAATAAAGTGAAATAGAAATACTTTAAAAAATCGAATAAAAAATTAATCTGAAATAAAATAATAATAAATTATTAGATGGAAAACCCAATAAACTTAAAATTAGACATGTTGCCTTGACAACTAGCTGAAATAAAATAAGTATAATAAAATACTAAAATTACTAAAACTTTTAAAAAAAAATACTGAAATTACTAAAACCAAAACTGAAATAAAAATAAAGCTAAATAATTTTTTTAAATAATAAATAATAAAAATAATAAATCTATAAAAAATAAAATAAAATAATAATAAAATATTTGATGGAAAACCCAATAAGCTTAAAATTAGACATGTTGCCTTGACAACTAGCTGAAATAAAATAAAATAAAATACATACTAAAATTACTAAAACTTTTAAAAATGTAAAAAAAAAAATTAAATAATATAAAAAATACAATAAAAATAGAAATATTAAGTGGAAAATATAAACAAAATACTAAAAATACTGAAATTACTAAAACCAAAACTGAAATAAAAATAAAGCTAAATAATTTTTTTAAATAATAAATAATAAAAATAATAAATCTATAAAAAATAAAATAAAATAATAATAAAATATTTGATGGAAAACCCAATAAGCTTAAAATTAGACATGTTGCCTTGACAACTAGCTGAAATAAAATAAGTATAATAAAATACTAAAATTACTAAAACTTTTAAAAATGTAAAAAAAAAATTTAAATAATATAAAAAATACAATAAAAATAGAAATATTAAGTGGAAAATATAAACAAAATACTAAAAATACTGAAATTACTAAAACCAAAACTGAAATTAAAATAAAGCTAAATAATCTTTTAAAATAATAAATAATAAAAATAATATATCTTTAAAAAATCTAATAAAAATGACAAAAGCACATAGTGAAATTACGAAAACTTAAATTAAAATGAAAACTGAATATATTAATAGAAAAGCTAATTAAAAATATCTAAACATGCTATAAATAACACTGCTTCTCGCGTGATAAAATAATTGGTGCTCAAATCAGTATTTCATGTATTTGTGTTTTTGGACAGCAGTGGTGTAATAAGCTGGAGAATGTGCAGGCGGTCGGTCTGCTGGAGCATCAGGGCACTAATCATCCCGTCAGGGTAATGACCGGCTGCCTGCACATCATCCGTTATTTGTTTCAGACATCTTTGTGATCACACAGACTTCAGAGGAGAGTGTTTGCAAAGAAGCTTTGATGCATCACTCAGTTCCTCATATGGTAATGATCACCGCATGTAGTCCAGACTGCAGGCTCGTGTTTGTTTTTATGTTTAGTCTGGTCTGGACCGGAGCTTCTCAGCCAGTTTTGCTGCAGGACGACACAACACAGCACTGAAAGTGTTCAGCATACAGATTTATAATCATTCAAAACACTTGATGGCAGTTCATGTTTACTCTTACTGCATGTATTTAATGTAGTCTGGGTTCTCTTATGTGGATTTGCCGTTTGATGTTGACATTAGCGTTATTATCGTTAACTAAAACTAAAACCATAAAAAACATTCTCATTCTTGAAGTTAAAAAAAAACATGAACTGAAACTAAACAAAATATTTAAAAACTTAAATGATTTTATTTCAGCAAGTTGCCAAGACATAATTTCTGATTTTTGTTTAATTTAAGTTGAAGTACTAAAATAATTAAAGCTAAATATACTAAAACTGAACACTAAAATGTAATAAAAACTATAGATTTTTTAAAGAATGAATTAAAATGACAAAAACACAACAAATTACTAAAACTTTAAATAAACGAAAACCATAATAAACATTCTCATTACTTGAAGTTAAGAAAACGTGAACTGAAACAAAACAAAATATTAAAAAACTTAAATTAACTTATTTTAAGTTGAAGTACTAAAATAATTAATGTACTAAAATGACAAAAACACAACAAATTACTAAAACTTTAAATAAATGAAAATGAAAACAGAAAATATAAAAATTAGTTAAAATATAAAAAAAAAAAATATATAATAGTATATCAATGATACAAAAAAAATACTACTTTTTATGTCATGTCAATTCAAGTTACATTTATTTTTTTAAGTCAATAGTGTCGTTATTCAGCTCAATTCAGTTCAGTGTTAATTCAGGTTATGGATTGCCAGGTAGGTGTACAGCTATAGCTTAATCACAAAAAAATACTGTAATTATATTCCATTACTCCTTTAATACATTTAATACATATCTACATTAATAATATAATGAAATTCGATATGAATAAACCACATTTCTGCCACTATATCATGCTGCAGTTAGTGTTACTACAGTAAATCCATGGTAAAAGATGGCGATTTGTAGATTGAAAAGCTTCTGACTGTATCGTTGCGCACAGTGTTTCTCCTGTTTGTCATCCGTCTCTAAACTAGTTTAAATCACCGAGTCATTTGTGACCCTGGAGCACAAAAGCAGTCTTAAGTCGCTGGGGTATATTTGTAGCAATAGCCAACAATACATTGTATGGGTCAAAATTATAGATTTTTCTTTTATGCCAAAAATCATTAGGATATTAAGTAAAGATCATGTTTCATGAAGATATTTGGTAAATTTCCTACCGTAAATATATCAAAACTTAATTTTTGATTAGCAATATGCATTGCTAAGATTTCATTTGAACAATTTTAAAGATGATTTTCTCAATATTTAGATTTTTTTGCACCCTCAGATTCCAGATTTTCAAATAGTTGTATCTCAGCCAAATATTGTCCGATCCTAACAAACCATACATCAATGGAAGCTTATTTATTCAGCTTTCAGATTATGTATACATCTCAATTTCGAAAAATTGACCCTTATGACTGGTTTTGTGCTCCAGGGTCACATTTGAGTTCTTCGCTGAATTCAAGAGCTTCACACTGGATCTCACAGCGCTTTTTAGTGTCTGCTCTAGTGATCATTGTGATCATTATAATTATAATTTTATCTCCCAGTTCTAATATACAATTAAATGGTTAGCTAAATTTTATTTATTTATCTATTTTATTTTATTTTTTAGTCTGCCCTTTTTGGGCCACAACTTGCAGTTTATGCATTTAGCAGACGCTTGTATCCACAGCACTCCATTATAGTCTATTATAAGCCAGTCTGGACTAATATGTTTTTTCTGTTTTGTTGTTTTGTGTGTTTCCAGTCCATCAGCCTGATTGAGCACGGGAATCCGTCCCGGAGTCTGGAGCAGGTGTGCCGCTGGGCAAACACACAGCAGAGGCTTGACCCCGAGCACGCCGAGCATCACGACCATGCTATCTTCCTCACCAGGCAAGATTTTGGTCCCGCAGGTATGCAAGGTACTGTGTTTCTCTCGATCGAGGCTGTGCAGAGTAAGTGCTTCTTTTTGCTTCTGTTCTCGAATGGTTGCCATCGAGATGCCCGGAACATCGGTCAGGAACGACCATCAAACGCCAGCTAATCTGATTCCAGACCATGTAAACTGGGCATCGGTGTCAACCTGTAGCAACCAAAAATACTCTTTGACCGCCGCGTTGCGAAGGAGAGTTTTTGGCATGTAGAGGAAAAGAAAACATCTTTATTAGTAACAATGCACTCTCAAAAGTACTAATATTCCTAGTCTTTTAGTTAAAAGGTTTCCTTTCTAGGTAGCTCGGTGAACTTTACCAATGTAAAGTATTGTTGTGTTTCATAATGTTGAAGTTAGTCTTGCATGCATGCTTTTCAAAGGAATAGTTTGCCAAAAAAATTAAATTCTATCATTTTCTCACCCTCAATTTGTTCCAAACCTGTATTAGTTTCTTTCTTCTGTTGAACACAAAAGAAGATATTTTGAAGAATGTTAGTAATCAAACAATTGACGGTAGCCATTGACTATAGTATTTGGAAGTCAATGGGTACCGTCAACTGACGGTGAGTAAATTATGACAGAATTTTCATTTTTGGGTGATATCCTTATAAAATAAGTAGCTTAAATAATCTTTTGTAGTAGTAGTAGTGGTTGTAATTGGATAACTAGGTATCTTAGTCAGGATAGACGGCAAATTTTATTTGGTGTAAGTAAAAACGAGTCTGTGAGTGACAGATTTACAGTCTCTTCAAAGGGTTGTGCTGTTGTGTAACATAGTGTTAATCAATTGATGAAACGCTGAAAATGCATATAAAAAAAATGATAATAATCATAAAACACAAAAATGAGAGAAAATGACAACATAGTGTTAATCAATTGATGAAACGCTGAAAATGCATATAAAAAAAAGATAATAATCATAAAACACAAAAATGAGAGAAAATGACTGTACATCTATCTGTCTACTGTGACTGTACATCTATCTGTCATAGCCTCATTTTCATTCACGTCACATTAAATATTGAGTCTACTATGACTAAGATCAATAAGTAATAAAATAAGTTAGAACAGCAATGAATTGCTATTTCGCAAAGATGTCTTAGCTTCATGTAAATATGATGAAATTAAAACTATGAATGTGTTTTTGTCTTTGTTTTGTCAAGTGGTCCTAAATGGGTTTTGTGGACATTTGTTGGTGTTTGATCTGTGTGAGGCAGTGCTGTTTTAATATTAATATTTGTGCTAATATTTTTAATGGGATTTTATATGATTTTTTATTTTAAATTTTTTTTAAGTTTTATTTTAGTTAAAGTTTTTTTAAGTCATTTTCACGTAACTTTTTTTTTAACACTGTGTCAACACAGTTCTGTTTCATTCCTCCTGACCACCAGAGGCAGTGCTTAACCACACTTAGCCAGGTCAATAGGTCGAGATAGCATACCAAAAAAGTCACATAGGCTCAGCCTCGAGTATAATAGACACACTAGCTCAGCCTTCGGTCTCTTTCGCTTTCTCGCTTGTCTGTGATAGGTCGTTCTTCAATCGATTTCCGTGCTATCAAGCGCAGCTTACTGGAGCAGCGAATTATCGTCCTTGCAAGCGCGCTCTTAAGGAGTTTTTGGATCGGATTATCGACTTGATTTGGTGAGTTTTTTTTTGCTTTATTGGACATTTGTTGATATATCGATAATACTTAGTGCTTCTCTGTACTATCCGGTGGCTAGTGTTACCGATCGATTTACTGACGGTTCCCCGCTGAGTTTTTATTGTGTTCAGATTAGTGAATAGTGCTCCTCGGTGCTATAGCCTTTGACTTACATACAATTCTGTGAAACACTTTGTGCTCCTCGGTGCTATCCGGTGGCTAGTGTTTTTGTTTTTTATATCAACTGTGCATTCCGTTAGTTTTGTGAATTTGTATGTTTCATCGGGCCGTGAAGAAATATAGAGCTGAGTATCATCAGCCTAACAGTGAAAGTTAACACCATGTTTCTTGAAGATATCTCCCAAGGGTAAAATGTAAAGTGACCATGAGAACCAGACGAGTCCTCTGCACAATCTGACCTGTGTTGCAGCCTGGAATTAAACCACGCCATGCTGGTTTCGTCAGGCCAGAGGAGAACCGCCCCCCCCCGACTGAGCCTGGTTTCTCCCAAGGTTTTTTTCTTCATTCTGTCGCCGATTAAATTTTGGTTCCTTGCCGCTGTCACCTCGCCTCTGGCTTGCTTAGTTGGGGACACTTAATTTCCAGCGATATCGTCAACT